CACCACGCTTCACATAAAAATTATCACCAAAAAAAAAAAAATACAAAACAAATACATATGACATTAAAAAGATTACATAACAAAATTAACATTATTTATTCAAAAACAGCTTTGTAATAATATTGACCTCGCCTAACCAAGCACCATTTCCCCCGGTCTAGCCACGGGCGGCACCCAGCAGCATCGAGCATTATTTAAGCGGCCAGTAGTACGTTCCTTAGCAATATCTTTTAGATTAAGAGTTGAATGAAATATGCTAATTCTTAGAATTAGAACTTAATATTTGAATACACGTTTTTAGTCTAATTTTTTTTTTCCAGGAGAAAACTTTCCCAACTGTCAAAGAATGACCCACTGGGGAATAATTCTCACTGCGTTACGTCAGGCGAATGTCCGGCAGGAGTGATAGTGGGGGAAATTCAGATCCTCGAGGTCTCACCGATACACAGCAAAGTGACCGACGCGGAGAATCGCCGTAACGTACAGAGTGCTATCAGCTGGGGCTCTGAGTTTGATGGAATTGAGTAAGTCTTCTCTAGACGAGAAACTATTTAAAGTATGGTCCGAAACAGACCGTACTGCACCTCCCCCGCGCCCCCCCCCCTGGATGCGTACGTGGGTTGGTCAAGGGGACATGGCTCCAGAAGTCACGTGTTCCAAGAATTGAAAAGGATGATATGATGGTCAGCTGTTGTTGGCAATGGGTCTCTCGGCGAAGGAACATGTATTCCTAGTTGAGTTTTATTTCCCCTCATACGTAAGTGATTAAGTTATCGCAAAAGGGGACTGTATTTTCTTTAAAGTGAGGGAGAGTTGCTCAGTTCGCCAGCCTCACTCTTTCGTCCTTGCCTATTTATTGATCCGATGGCAAGACTTAGTCAAGACAACTGGAAATAGACCAGGAGGCAGTAGATGACCAGCAGTGGGTCTTGTGCGTCTCACTGCGCTCTTTTGCGCTCCACATCACAGGAGATGTCGGAATTTTCATAGTGTCAATGCCATACCGCCCACGGGCCTCCATCTCCGGGTTTGATTTCAGATTTTCCCCTTCTCTTAGAAGATTCGATGAGTTCCCATCCACGATTAGCGAGTCCCGTTCACCCGAGGCCATCCACACGTGCTGTCCTATCCACCCGGGGTGACCCATCCACCCGGGGTGTCCCATCCACCCGGGGTGCTGTGGATTGTTTGTGTGCCTTTCTAGTCGTTTCTGGGGATCGAACTCCATTCCCCCAGCTTGGTATATATATAACCTACATGTAACCAACATGTATCAATTTTCACATCTGGGAAATGTTGCAGGTCGTTCTTGGCGCATTGTTGATTTCATGTTTTTTTTTTTTTAAATACCAACATTTAGTCTTTCCCTTAATCTAGCTGCAAACTATCAAATTTCTATTCCGGTCTCCAAATCGGGAGTAGGGAATATTTATGTGGCATTGCTTGTCATAGTAAGGCTTAAACCTTAACACTAAGACTTCATTTTCTACATCGCCGTCTTGTTGCCTCCACCGATGTTACAATTTAACTTGAAATATTTTGTAAAAAGAATATCAGACTTTAACCACATTGCAATAAATTAAAGTCAAATCAGGAATCGACGACATTGCAATAGATTCAAAGCTAATAATTAATTGACCCAATTGCGTTAGATTCATAGCCAATCAGGAATTGACCACATTGCAATAAATTCAAAGCTAATCAGGAATTGAAAACAATGCTATAGATTCATAGCCAATCGGGAATTGACCTCATTGCAATAGATTCAAAGCTAATCAGGAATTGACCACATTGCAATAGATTCATAGCTAATCATGAATTGACGACATTACAATAGATTCATAGCCAATCATGAATTGACGACATTACAATAGATTCATAGCCAATCATGAATTGACGACATTACAATAGATTCATAGCCAATCGTGAATTGACGACATTACAATAGATTCATAGCCAATCATGAATTGACGACATTACAATAGATTCATAGCCAATCATGAATTGACGACATTACAATAGATTCAAAGCCGATCAGCTGTTGAACACATTGTATGTAGATTTAAAGATGTGTTGATTCTCAGATGTGTTCAACATTTGTTACCGTGGTTCATTCCGAGACACAAAGTCTGCAGTTAAATGTCAATGAAGAAGATATAACACACATGGGTTTCAACATTGGGTGAAACAATTTCCATGGCATCCTTTCTGCAGTCAGCATATTTGGCTGTCCAGTCCGCTTCTACCGGGTAGGCACAGTGGGAAGCTACAGCTGCTGATCCATCTAATTTGTTCCTTACTAGTTTCTTGAGCAGATTGGGTGCACTGCCGGCCTACTAGATCTGTCGCATCGGAGATTCCCAACGGGAGCTTCATTTACTTTGAAGAGCCACCATTTTGAGTCTGCCCGAGTCCTATCCTACTTAATATGCAACTAGGCAAAAATCAAAGTCTTTGGATACGTTTTTAAATAGTATATATATATACATGGCCAAGTGGTCTAAACTGAGCAGATCTCAAGTTGGTGGTCTCGAGTTCAATTTCAGCCAGAGCTCAGTCAAGCAAAAACACCATCAGCACCCCGGGTGGATGGGACTCGTTAACCTTGGACGGCAACTCATCTAAGAGAAGGAAACTCTGAAATCAAACCCGGAGATGGAGTCCCGAAAGGCGGATAACATTGGTACAATGAAATATTCCGACAACTCCTGCGACGTCACTGGTGCCAAGCTGTATCATCCAATGATGTTCCCTTGGGTTATCCAGCGGCGTGGAGAGAGGCGATTTGCTGTTGGGAACCAGCTTATAATCCTTGAAGAATAATCCCAGGCCATGTGGATTTCGTCCTCCGAAGCCCACTCCATCGTCACATACAACAACGGACGGATGCCAGCAAAAAAAAATAAAAAAAAAAATATATAGATATATATACATATGTATAATGTGTATCTTATTACTTTGTAACAATACTAAATGTTATGGTTCTAGTTTAACTAAATTATTAAAATTTTCACTATCTCCACAGCGCCCCCAGTGATGATCTATACATCAACGTCAACATAGCCGCCGATTCCCCCCAAGCTGTCGGCCCGGCACAAATAGACGTGGCGTCATATCCTGCGAAATCCTCCATGTGGAAAAAATGGATGCCCGGTAATCCGTTCCTGCAGCTCCAAGGCTGGAGGCCGACTTCCGGTCTGTACAACAAGAAGAAACGGCCGGACGCCGACAGTGATGTCATCTACGCCAACAACGCACAGATACACGAAATCGTCTACACAAATGTTTGTGTCAGCAAGATTTAGGCACCGTATTCTACATACTAATGACGCGTCGGACTACGTTTAGTTACCGTATTCTACATACTAATCATGCGTTGAACTACAATGCTTCAAGATTTATTAATGGGGAAACAAATGTATATAAGATATATGAGGATATTTACGAACATTTCTTCATGTAAAAATGGATTGCTTCCTGAAGAGGTACATATGACAAGACGGTCACCGGAGAGGTCTTAAAACAAAAACATACAAACACACACGCAGAGAATACAAAAGTGTGCATAGCCTAAAGTTTACAGAACAATTTGTCACGGACAGGTTCATCTCGTCATTACCAGTTTCATCTTGTCACGGACAGATTCATCTCGTCATTACCAGTTTCATCTTGTCACGGACAGATTCATCTCGTCATTACCAGTTTCATCTTGTCATTACCAGTTTTATCTTGTCATAGACAGTTTCATCTTGTCATTGCCAGTTTCACCTTGTTGTCAAATTTTTCATAATTTCACATTCTTTTAGGTCAGGAGCCCTTAACATTTTTTCAGCCCCCCCCCCCCCGCCCCACACTATTGATTTCAAAACTTATTCCCCACACCCCCACCAAAAATGCTGAGACAATTCCAATACAACTGATTGTGCGGGAAATTTTTCATAATTTCACATTCTTTTAGGTCAGGAGCCCTTAACATTTTTTCACCCCCCCCCCCCCCCGCCCCACACTATTGATTTCAAAACTTATTCCCCACACCCCCACCAAAAATGCTGAGACAATTCCAATACAACTGATTGTGCGGGTCTCCCAGCACCTCCTGACACCACCTCCCGCACCCCGGGGGTCGGAGGCACCCTTGGTTAAGAATCCTTCTTTTTAGGTGTAGGTCAAACAGATGGGACGTGGTTTGATCATGGTGAAATTCTTGGCTTTCCAATTTTTCCCCCATTTGTCAAGAAGAGGAGAGGCCACAGGCGAGTTTCAAAACTAAAAGGACACCATTTGACTGTGTTCGAAAAAAAAACCCCCAAAACCTTTGTAATCCAGCATTTTAGTAAAAACCCAACAAGTGGATCTAGTTGTCAATGTTTCTACTCAGCCATCATTGGGGTGCGGGGGTAAGTGGATGGAAATCATAGCGCAGGGGAGGGGGGGGAATTCATAGCCAGGGGTGGTGGCAATCATAGCCAGGGGTGGTGGCAATCATAGCCAGGGGTGGTGGCAATCATAGCCAGGGGTGGTGGCAATCGTAGCCAGGGGTGGTGGCAATGATAGCCAGGGGGGGACCAGGGGTGGTGGCAATCATAGCCAGGGGTGGTGGCAATCATAGCCAGGGGTGGTGGCAATCATAGCCAGGGGTGGTGGCAATCATAGCCAGGGGTGGTGGCAATCATAGCCAGGGGTGGTGGCAATGACAGCTAAAGGTAGGATGCAATGATATACATGGGTAGAAGAGGGAAATTATTATAACAAGGGGTGGGGGCACTCATAACAAGGGGTGGGGGCAATCATAAGAAACGGGCAAAGTTGATCAATAATCATTAATAAAATATGTTATATATCCTTGACATTGCCACATCTTCCGCCTTTTAATTAATGTGTGTTTCAGTTTGGGGGGGAGGGGGGCGCAAAATGGGACTTGTGAATGATTGGAAGATTTGCTCACTGTTACCTTGCTGCATCACACACACAACCATTTTAAAACATACACTGGACAGTAATTACTTTTCTAATTCTAACTTTTGAAAGTATTTGTTGTTTATCAAAATAAGATGTTTAATTCTAAAAAAATCACATTTGATTCAATTATTAGAAAAAACCATTTTAAAAATCAACGACAAATGGCAAAAAAAATCTTCATGCAATTTGAAAAACTTTTAAGTATGCATTAAACAAAAATTATGGAATTGCTGTATGCTTTCACTTTTTCTATGTTCAAATGTTACTCGATCATTAATTTAAGCAAACAACTAAAGAATGATTTTCACAAAAAATAAAATAACCGGAATTTATATTTTCAAATGTGTTCTCCCAATCAGTGTTCATTTAAATTGAAAAGTGTTCTTGCAATCAATCATTGTACATTACATTGTGTTCTCACAATCATTGTACATTTAAATGTATTCCAAAAATTATTGAACATTTAAATTGAAATTTGTTCTCACAATCACTGCACATTAAATGTGTTTTCACAATCATTGTACATTAAAATGGGTTTTCACAATCATTGTACATTATAATGCCACATTTATCTAATAAATATAACCAAAATAAGTTTTATAAAAAAAATTCTTAATTTTAAAATAACATCCCAATACAACCAAAACATTTAAATGGGATGAACCTAAAAAAAATTTTTGTGAGGTACCAAAACAATTTTATTGTGGGTGGCCAGAACATTATTATTGTTGGGGAACCATAACATTATTATTGTGGTGAACCAAAACAATTTTATTGTGGGGAACCAGAACATTATTATTTTGAGGAAACAGAACATTATCATTGTGGTGAACTAGAAAATTATTATTGTGGTGAGCCATAACATTATTATTGTGGTGAACCATAACATTATTATTGTGGGGAAACAGAACATTATTATTGTGGGGAAACAGAACATTATTATTGCGGGGAAACAGAACATTATTATTGTGGGGAAACAGAACATTATTATTGTGGGGAAACAGAACATTATTATTGTGGTGAATCAGAACATTATTATTGTGGTGAATCAGAACATTATTATTGTGGTGAACCATAACATTATTATTGTGGGGAAACAGAACAATATAATTTTGAGATGAAGGAAAAGCAAAACATTAACAGTTTTCTATGAATGATATCACAATAGATGAAACAAAGAGATGAATGCAACATCTTCTTGAAATAATTTAAATAAAACATTTGCGCCCCGGACAAATAACCGGAAAAATCGTGAAAGACAAATTGCATTATTATTGCATTGACAAAATCACATGTTTATATAATAGATAGTGATAAAAAGGTTAGAGTTTTTATTTCAGGAATTTGATGTTATAAGACGATCATTTCAGAACTATCGCTGTGTCATTTAATTTTAACAGTACAAACAGCCTGGCCCACAACCACCCTCTCGAAAAAACACCCTGTCCCACAACCTCCCTGCCCCCAACCTCCCGACCCACAACCTCCTTGCCCCACATGACCCCGTACCACAGCCCCACCATTACTCAAACAAACATTTTTTCATCAGTTCATCTCTCACTTGAGTAAGGATGTACCCCAATTTGTTTTTTCCTCTCCATGCCTTTTTGTCCTGTGCTTTAGGATGTGATGCCCCGAGTCCAATGCCCCATATCCGGTCCCTTGGACTGGCCTCTACTAATGTCTTGGGAAAAGTTTTAAAAAGTTCTTCTCTCAGATTTTGATTTTGTTCAAACTGAAAGATAGAATGGATGTCCTTATGTAGCATTAGCATTGTTAATTTTAACAAAAAGATGTAAGGATATTAAAATCCAGGTGTCATCACACAAAAACTGGACAAGTATCTTGAGCTGCACATTCAACAATTGCGCTAATGATATTCTCAGCGCTAAAAATTTTCATCAGTGAAACCAACTTCCATGAATAAACTTTTAAAGTGAGCATGGATGACGCTGGCAGCTTCTTACCTTTGCTAGGGATGCCCTTTTCACCACATTCTCACATTCAGAATCCCAAACTTCTTTGACAAAATTGCTGACCTTTCTACCAAAACGTTTCTGTTCCTGTGGATTAGTAGATGCCAGGATCTTTGATTTCATTTCATCATCCTCAAAAATGACTGAAAAGATACAAAGAGTTTAATTTTATTAATTTTCTAAATTGGGTAATTCTCATGAATTTCCTCAATTGTGTAAGTCTCATTAATTTTTCTCAAATGTGCTATCCTCATTGAACGAGCAGAAGCAGTAGCATAAAAAAAAAATAAAAAATTGAAGGCAGCTATGCCATTCCCGGATATTGACTAGTATCATCTTACAATGCTGGATCACACTAAAGCATTGTTCAAATTATTTTGGAGCTCTAAAAAATATAAAGTCTCCTTTATTTACTTCAAGTAAAGCACAGAAGCGTGATCAGAGATAAAATAAAGGATTGAACATTAAATGATGATAAGACTGAGCTGCTCCCCATCCCAACCGCTCAGAAGCAAAAATCTGCAAATAACACTACATCCATTACTCTCTCAGGTGTGCGTATTGAGTTAGCTCAAACAGTGCGGTACCTGGGTGTCTACCTAGATGGAAGACTAACTTTTGAAAGTCATCAGGCCCTTCCTAACAATTGATGCAACAAAGAGGCTGATGTCTGCATTTGTGCTATCACGCATGGACTATTGCAATGCTCTTATGGTGGGTCTTCCAGCTACGCTCCTGGATAAAATTCAAATAGCGCAGAATAATGCGGCTCGCATTGTTCTCCGCAAACGCAAGTTTGACCATGCAAAAACACTTCTGAGAGAGCTGCACTGGCTGCCAGTGCGTGCTCGCATGGAGTACAAAATCGCAACTTTGTGCTACAGCTGCTTACATGACCTGGCGCCGTCCTATCTGAAAGAGCTGCTGACGCCTTATGTACCCACTAGAGAGCTCCGCTCATCCGATAGTGGCAAACTCTCGACACCACGTGTTTGCCTTGAGACTTACGGAAAGCGCACTTTCGCATTTGCTGGTCCACTAATTTGGAATGCCCTTCCTGTCGATCTCAGAAACAACCAGACACTTGAGTCCTTTAAAACCGATTTAAAGACACATCTATTTCGCAAACACCTTCTGGGATGATTGTCAACATTATTTTCCAATTAATGCATAATGGCTGTGTTGCTTATGGTTGAAATGGCTAGAAAGACTTTGCCATTGTATGCTTGTACTTAGTTTTTGTCGTGTTGCGTTTGTTTTAAATGTGGTAAACTATAGATTTTCTTTTTGTTGACTTTGTACCGCGCTTCGAGCCTTTGGGGATGAAGCGTGTTTTTGAAATGAACTTTATTATTATTATTATTATTATTATAACTAAAGGTTTTATTCTGCAAACAGATCACACATTTTCACCATAATATGAAATATGAGATGTGAGTAATGTAACAACTGAAAAACGCGAAATATTGTATTTAAATAATAAAATAAAAAAAAATTGTGAATTTTTTTTAACGCCACAAAAAAAAATAAATAAAAATAAATTTCTTTTATCAAAAACACAGGAAAACATTATTTAGACTTGTAAAATTATTGACGTTGATGATGCATCCAAGAGTCATGGAACTAAACTGGCTAATTCAAATCTTAATATAAAGGATCTCGTAAATTTTTAATCTACTTCCTTAGTTTTTGCATAGCCTTGTATGTCAGTTAGGGCATGAGATCAGTCCTTGTGGCAGGTTTATGTTTATTAGATTTTATTATTTAAAAATCAGTTTATTAAAAAGAGTAGAAAATTCCAAAGCTGGATGACTTCATGATTTAAAAATTAAGAATAAGAATGGGTGCAAGTCCTTGACAAAATCTTGCGCCCACTCTTATTCTTTTAAATCCTTTTTAGTTAGGTAGGATACATGTATATATAATATATGTGTATATATATTATTTAATTTAATTTTATACTTATATGAGTATGAGTGTTTTTTTTTTTTCTACTGATGAAGTTATTTGCCGAAACGTCTACATTTATATTCTGTATGATCATTATTAAAGCTGAACTTATATTGTTTTATTTAGACAAATTGTTGGTGTCCAATTCATCTACTTGAAAGATTTATGGCGGTCCATCACTCTTATAATTTGAAAATTCACCAGAGATAACAGTGCTCATGTAACATTGACTGATAGGCCTACTGTTCCTTTGTAATATTTTTGAGCATCTAAAAATATTTATGTTCATAATCGTGAATAAAATCAAATAAAATATCAAATAATAGTAAATGTAGGCTAATGGTTAGTCTAATTTCTTTTGAAACATCACATACTGTTCTGCACTGGTTAACCTACCTGCTTTTGAATACATCATGTACTGTTCTGCACAGTTGAACACTACTCCATCTATTGTAAACTGAGAAGGGTGATGCTGACTAAAAGGCGATTCTTTTGAGTAGAACAAGAAGAATGGAGCATCCGATGCTGAATTTCCTCCAACAACTGATTTGGGGGCCTCAGACTCAAAGCCAGCCTTACTAGTCGTAGGTTTAGCTTTACTGTTACTGGATTTCTTCATTTCAATTATTTTGCCTGAAAAATATTTTATTCTGTCTGAAAAATATTTTATTCTGTAGGCTAATTTAAAAGATTTATTGAACAATAACTAATACTTTTTAACTAGTAAGTTTATAACTATAAAATGCTTATTAAATTAAACTGACATTAATCTTTTAAATTCAATTGAATTAATAGTATTAATACTACTATTAATAGGCTACAGACCAAGATTTGTTTATATCTGTTTGTCAATACTTCATATTTGGTAAAAAGTCAATCACAAGGAATAGTCAAGCTTTTTATGTGAAAATTAGATAAACTTATAGGCCAACATTATAATAATTATACATCTATGTTATAAAAAAAAATAAAAAAAAAAATAAAAAAAAATTGAATCTAGTATTATTTAATAGCATCTACCAGCACTAAACCCAATCTGTCAGTACCAGCACTATATCCATGACTTATTTTGACTAGTGTCAGAGTTAAATGTTTTTAAAAAAAATGAAGTTTACAAATTATTAGTTCCATATTTTATTAGTGTTAGACTTAAGTTTTTCGCTTTTACTTTTATTCTATTTAATTAAATATTAATTTGTGGCTTACCAACTTAGACTGAAATCTTCTGTTGATTAATGGTTGGGCTGGTTGTGCCTTGTAAATCATGAAAAGTTTTAGTTATTGCAACTTAAAATGTAATAATGTAATGAATAACTATATAATCCATACTATGGCCTATATAGTATAATATAGGCATAGGCCTATCCAGCTACCCTACCCACCATAATTCCTAGTAATCAACTTTTTTTTTCTTTTTTTAAAAAACTTTTACCCCTTAATCTAAATATAGGCATTTAATAAGATGCCTATTTAAGATTTTAATCTTACCTCTAACTTGCCTAGCCCTAAGCCTCGCCTTAGTAATTGTAGATTTTTTTTTTTTTTTTAAATTGGAAACTTCTTAGTCTTAGTCATTCCCTGTATTTACCTTTTTTATTTTATTAATTTCAATTTAATATTAGTATTATTCTTTAAACTGTAACTATTCTATCATTATTAAGGTTTTAGTAGGCGTAGGGCTCAGTATGCCCAATACTTAACTTGGTAATTATTACTATCACTACCAAATATGATTTGTTTACTTACTAGTTACTAGTAGTGACATCTATTATGTCATGTTGTCTTGCATCTCGACAATCTCGTTGAATCAGTGTAAAGTAACAGTAACTCAACTATGTCATGTCATGTCGTCTGAGTAAAGTGTAACTAGTAACAGTCAATGATATTGCTTGATACTCGGTCAGACTCAAAAAATCAACAATGACAATCGATCAATGTGTACAAAAATATGATAGCCCATTCGATGACTTTATTTTTAGTTCAAAAGTTAAAGCAAGTCGAGAGAATAAAAAAGTTTTTTTTTTTATACCAAGCAGTTAAACATATTTCACAGCAGGGGGAGGGTATCGTTAATAATAGGCTTAATAGGTGTAAATAAAGATTTTAAGTATAAACGAGTTCCGTTGTGTTTATGTTTGTGTGTGATTTTTTAATGTCTGGGTAACTAGTCTTTCTAACTTCCTCCTTACGGTTTTTTAAATTTATAATAATAATAGTTATTATTATTATTATTATTATACTCATCCCCCCCCCCCAATCATTATTAAGTGGGATATCTAATTATCGCAAAAGTGCTATATCTATTTACATATATTTTGTTCTTCTCAAAGCTTGGACCGCGAGCTTTAAGGTTTACGTTGCCACTCCGCACAACATGACAATGATACAAGGGGTCGTCCATTAATTAAGTCAACAATTTTTACGCATTTTTTACCCCCCCCCCGGTCAACAGCTGTCAAACTTTCGATGACACCCCTATTTAATTATGTCAACGACAGAAAAATATGAATTATAATATAAATAAATTTATAAATACATTTTACTTTCCGCTGATCTATTTAAGTGACACATACAAATGTAGGGAAATCATTTTATTACATGTTTAGCTTGTTAAACCAAAAAAAAAATATATATATTTTAAAGACTAATTTATATGTCACCTTACTTTGAATTTCAAAGATAAAAAAAAAATAATATTCTTCCATCCAAAAATTTCCAAATACAAAATGAATTAGATAAAGTGGACGTCAACATATATAATTTGTATTACATTGTGTGGCATTTCTCCAGCCCGGCCCGAAAGTCATCATGAGCAGGTAATCCACAAGGACATGGCTACACTAGGGTGACCAATTGATGAACTGGGAAAAAGCGGGACACACCCGAGAGGGTTTGTGGGGGATACCCTCCAGCTAAAGAGGGGCCCGGGGGCCTCCGCCGGAAGCTGTTGATTGAAATTAAATATGTTCATTTTAACCATTTTGAGACCTAGAAATATTTTTACATTGAGCTTCACTTATGTAATTTATTTGAAACCCTGAGGCATATCATAAACAATATTTGCAGTTACAACATGATAAGACTTAAGAACTGTGGCAGGGACACTGTCGTTTACGTAGCGTCGTCAGAGTGGTGGAGGGGGAACAGTGCAGCCATCACGCGAGCCCATATCACCACTGGTACTAGCTAAAATATTACTTGAAGTTATATTATAAATTAGGAAGTTTTAGCGATTTGAAACAGTGTTTGGTTTTAAGAAAGGTGACATTCAGGAGTCCCGAGAGACTTTTTCGGGACACCGGGTACGATCGTGAAAAAAACGGGAAATCCTGGTTTTACGGGACGTTAGGGCACCCTGGGCTACAAAGATAACGACACCCCTAGTCAACAAAATCTCGTTGAGAAGTGATAACAAAGTATTGGCCTGAAATCTATCTGTCAAAATGGTGAAAATCTGTAAAGTTAAAGCCGCGGGTTGAAAATTGATTGATAAATGTTATTTTAAGGTTAGATAATTCTTATCTTCTTAGGACTTCGAAGTTATAATTGTTATCTCCCATCAATTAACACGTTCAAGAACTCTGTTAAAAAAAAAATTAGCTCTGAAGTTACATTTTCATGGTAAAAAATAAAAATAAATAAGTTTTGCAGAATATTGTCTGGTAGCAATGTTGCCCAGCTCTTCTACCAGCTATGTTTCCCCACTATTCTTACCAGCTATGTTGCCCTACTATTCTACCAGCGAAGTTGCCCCACTATTCTACCAGCGAAGTTGCCCCACTATTCTACCAGCGATATTGCCCCATCATTCTACCAGTGAAGTTGCCCCACTATTCTACCAGCGGAGTTGTCCCACTATTCTACCAGCGATGTTGCTCCACTATTCTACCAGCGATGTTGCCCCATTATTCTACCAGTTATGTTGCCCCACTATTCTACCAGCTATTTTGCCTCACTATTCTACAACAATGTTGCCCCACTATTCTACCAGCTGTTTTGTCTCACTATTCTACAACAATGTTGCCCTACTATTCTACCTGCGAAGTTGTCACACTATTCTAACAGCGAAGTTGCCCCACTATTCTACCAGCGGAGTTGCCCCATTATTCTACCAACTATGTGGCCCCACTATTCCCCCAGCTATTTTCCCCTCACTATTCTACCAGCGGAGTTGCCCCATTATTCTACCAGCGGAGTTGCCCCATTATTCTACCAGCGGAGTTGCCCCATTATTCTACCAGCGGAGTTGCCCCATTATTCTACCAGCGGAGTTGCCCCATTATTCTACCAGCTATGTTGCCCCATTATTCTACCAGCTATGTTGCCACACTATTCTAACAGCTTTGTTGCCCCACTATTCTACCAGCTATTTGCCCCACTATTCTACTATCTATGTTGCTCCACTCTTCTACAGTCTACCAGCTATGTTGTCCCACTCTTCTACAGTCTACCAGCTATGTTGTCCCACTCTTCTACAGTCTACCAGCTATGTTGTCCCACTCTTCTACAGTCTACCAGCTATGTTGTACCACTCTTCTACAGTAAACTAGCTATGTGGCACTACTATTCTACCAGCCATTTTGCCACACTATTCCACCAGCCATGTTGCCCCAGTATTCTACCAGCGGAGTTACCCCATTATTCTACCAGCAATGTTGCCACAATATTCTACCAGCTATGTTGCCCCACTATTCTACCAGCTATGTTGCCGCACTATCCTACTATCTATATTGCCCCAATCTTCTACAGTCTATCAGCTATGTTGTTCCACTCTGCTATCAGCTATGTTGCTGCTACATGCATTTCTAGCCCTCAAAAATAAGATGGGTAAGTGACAATAATATATAATTTAAAACATGCAGTCACTCCTATCCCCTTCCCCAGATAATAATAATAATTATTGATGTATTAAATATATTATAAATTAAGTAATTGAAGCTATTTAACTGGCCATTTAGCTTGTTAATAATTTAATCATTAAAAAAACAAAAACAAAAACAAAATCAAAACAACAGAACCATTTGACTAATTTGTCATTAAGGAGAGATTACCATCAAATAGACAAAATAGACTAAATTCCAATGATCTACACATAAATCTGTGCTAAACTAATTTTCGCTTTTAAATTAAGTTTAAAAAAAAAATTATGTCAGGACCGGGAGTGGAGCTGGAACTAAATATTTTTTTAGGAGCCGAACTCGGCACACGCCCCCTCCCTCATCCCCCCACAAAACCACCAAATAACAAGCTAACAAACCTGCTCCACATCTCTGATATTAACACGAAATTTACTAGAATTATTCTTTTTACAATTACGGTAAACACATTTTTCAAAATTGCTTTAAACCTCTATTTTACTTATCCATGTACACAAATGCCTCACAAAAATTCTTTTAAAATAATGCTTCACACCAATTTTTTAAACTAATGCAGACTGCTGGTCGCAACCAATGCTGAATCATGTTGGCTGGCCTAGTTAGCACAGTTTACGTTAACAATGGCAAGGTCGGGTGGCCTAGTTAGCACAGTTTAGATTGACAATGGCAAGGTCGGGTGGCCTAGTTAGCACCGTTTAGATTAACAATGGCAAGGCTGGGTGGTCTAGTTAGCACAGTTTAGATTAACAATGGCAAGGCTTGGTGGCCTAGTTAGCACCGTTTAGATTAACAATGGCAAGGTCGGGTGGCCTAGTTAGCACCGTTTAGATTAACAATGGCAAGGCTTGGTGGCCTAGTTAACACCGTTTAGATTAACAATGGCAAGGCTTGGTGGCCTAGTTAGCACCGTTTAGATTAACAATGGCAAGGGTTGGTGGCCTAGTTAGCACCGTTTAGATTAACAATGGCAAGGGTTGGTGGTCTAGTTAGCACCGTTTAGATTAACAATGGCAAGGGTTGGTGGCCTAGTTAGCACCGTTTAGATTAACAATGGCAAGGCTTGGTGGCCTAGTTAGCACCGTTTAGATTAACAATGGCAAGGCTTGGTGGTCTAGTTAGCACCGTTTAGATTAACAATGGCAAGGGTTGGTGGTCTAGTTAGCACCGTTTAGATTAAAAATGGCAAGGCTGCGTGGCCAAGTGCGTGCTTTATTTTCTTCTAGGTTTTCCCCTATTCTCTTTTTTTTGGGGGGTAGGGGGGGTTGGTTTATTCCCTTCTACTGAACCTGACTGCAGGTCTCTACACCTTTTTTTTTTTTTTGGTATTATTCCAAAATCTGTGTCCCAAGCGTGGCGTAACGGCCGTGAGGCCAAACACTGTGTCATATCAATAAAAAACCTTTGTAAGGATCAATGTACCGTTAAACTATTGACCATTTTCCAGTTCCCACAATAATTTAGCTATCTGGAAATTTTCAAAATCCTGCATAAAAAAGTTTGTGTGGATGTGTGTGTGGAAGGTAAAGGGGGGGGGTGTGATTCTTCCCAACCCACCACAAGTTTGATTGGAAGCAACAGTTTCCTCAACCCTCCCAGTGTTGACGCCCCTGGTTCTCTCTATAGTTATATTGCAGACCCGGAAGTGACCCGTGTCAGTCCTACCAGGACACTTGACTATTTTGGATGGTTTCTCGTGTCTTGTTTTGTTCGTGGCCAGCCAAAGGTCAGCTGGGGAGCAGTCGTCAGCATCATTTATCCTTTCCAGTTAGTTCTGGGTATATTCTGGGTACTCGTTCACAAGGACTGCGCGCAGGTCAAGAGAGACACGAGGGTGATGGGACGATTCCCAGTTTTCACCTCACCGCCAGTCTTTCAGCCACCGGGCCTTTTCACCACCTGGCCATTTCGCCACTGGGCCATTTCGCCACCGGGCCTTTTCACCACTGGGCCATTTCACTGGCGGGCCATTTTAGCACCTGGGCATTTCACCACCGGGCCATTTCACCACCGGGCCATTTCACCGGCGGGCAATTTCACCACCTGGCCATTTCGCCACCTGGCCATTTCGCCATCGGGCCATTTCACCCCCGTGCCATTTCACCGGCGGGCCATTTCACCACCGGGCCATTTCACCACCGGGCCATTTCACCACCGGGCCATTTCACCACCGGGCC